TTCTGCACAAAATGGATGAAAAATTACAGGGGTTTTCAGACTTAAATACTTCCTTTCTACTTGCAGCAGGGCATCTACCAGCAGCATCTGTCTCATTTACCTTTCTTCTGATAGTGTTCATTTGTATTTTATGCCAATCACAATCTTGGGAATTAACATACTGCTGTGTTGCTCATTAGAATTAGTATTTGTATCCCTTTTAACTTAACAAATTAAATGTAAGCAGTGTTTTTACAATTCTGTAATAAATATTACAAATCTCTGTTTATGCTACACTGGTAGTCCTAGAAAATAATTGATTGTTTTGAGGTGTAGGAAGGTTCATGACATCTCAGAAAGACAGTTTATCATAGCTGAACTGTGAGGATGTTTCAGATGACAAAATGTATTGCCTGCTGTACAGAAAATGATAGGGTTTGGATGCTTCAAAGTTTCTGTAATACAGAATGTATTCCGTTTTGGGAGTACAAGAACTCTTGTTTTCCCTATTAGGACTGGAGAAAAGGCTGGATGACTGAATGGTGATGCAAAACTGTGTCATGAACTTTAGCAGTAACATGTTTTCCACTTATTTTGAAAAAAAACTACCTGCTCATACAAAGGCTGTGTTACCATTTAGGAAGTCTTCTCTACTGGCTTTCTCCTATCTTTATAGTGGTAATTTTATCCAATTAATAATAAATATTTCAGTATCCACAAAACATATAAAATACAGTGCTGCAATACATATGTTGTTAGTTGTCTGCCAATATTGTTGGCTTGGGCATTCAGTGTAGCATTTTACAGTTATATGTTAACTGTATGTTTTGTTCTAGTGTATCATCTTTACGGTTGGCCTACAGAGATCTTGACATTAAAACAAGAGAAGAAAAGTTAAATCTATCTGGTAAGAAGAAAAATGAGTTGGAGAGACTTGGCATAGGATTTGGCAGCAACAGAAGGTGTGTGAAGTCCTATAAACTATTTAAATCATTCTGTGGCTTTGTGCAGTTATCCTTCATTTTACTTAGGAAATGAAAAAATATACAGAAGTGTGTTATGAAAACAATATCATCAAAGGATCTAGTATTTGTCAGGGGGAAGGGGCAGGTTGCTTCTGGTAGGTTAATGCCTGTCTTGCAGATTAGAACTTAAATCTAAATTGTAGGGTGTTGCCTCCATTAGTTGACTGAGAGGAAGGTGGTCAGGATGTTTTCAGTGAACAGTATTGAGCTAAGTCTAGTCTTTTTTTCTTGCTGAAAACATCACATTACTGTGTTTTCCAGGTGTTGGAATGGTGGTGTGTGTGTGTGTGTGTGTTCAGAAGTGTGTCCTGTAACTACTCTAAGAGAACTATAGTTGAGTTTTCCAGGGCTACTTTTTTTTTTTTAATCCCTCCTTTCTTCTTAAATCTTTGCATAACTTGGACTTTAGAAGCAAGCTTCAGAAACTGCATTTGGGCTTTCATTTCTTGGGGTTTTTTTTGGTTTTTTGGGTTTTTTTTTCGTGTGAGCTTTTTCATCTCTTTACATGCTTATTTTCTCCCTGTCCCCAGTGGCATTTCTCACTCGGTCACCTCAGATATGCAAACAATAGAGCAGGAAACACCTGCAATTGCAAAGCCGAAGAAAAAGTACATCGATGATGCAGAAGACTCATATTTCTCTTCTAGTTCAAGGTAACATACAAGCTTTTTATTTTGAGTGGGGATAGAAGTATATGCAAGTTACTTATTCAAACATACACCATATATTTGGAACTTAAAATCAAAACAGAAGACAATCTGACGTATCTACACACCTAGCATATTTTCAGGGGACATAGGAACTGGAGAAGCTGTGAAATAGTTGACCCTGCCTGGATGACAGATGTATTTATAGGGAAGAGGAGTTACTTTTTTTGAGGAGAAAGTAGTCTGAGTTGTGTTTACAGCTTTTGTCTTGTTCAGGATCTAGTCTCTACTTGCACAGGCAATATCCCTACAAGTTTTTATTTACTGCATACTGAATCCAAGTAATTTTTTGTCAGGATGACTTGTGTATGTTCTCTTTTTTTTTCCTTTTTTTTTTTTACCTTTCTTGTGCCACTGTCTTCAACTTTTAATTTAAAATTAAACAAGTATTGAAGTCTGATACTAGATATGCTACAGTTGCACCAGTCTTTTAACTGGACACATGCCAAATGCAGAACCTAAATCTTCTTGAAGTATTGTGTGTTGGATGTATTGTGTAGATGTCTGCAATCTTATTTGATAGACTTTTATGTATTGGAATTTAAATGTAAGCAAAAAATAATTGACAAATTTTTCATCATAGTATGAATGCAATGCATGTTATAGAATACTGTTGTTGGGAGGGAGAAATAAAATAACAAGTCCTACAGACAGTAATTGCAATGAAACAGCTGCTTATGGACTGACAGATAGAAACAGATGTTGCTTTTGTAAACTGACTTTATTGGTTTGGTCCTGCAGAAACATGAAAAATTGTACCTAATTACTTGTAGATGGACAAATAAAAACACAAAGGCTTTTGTGTCATTACTTTGTAGTGTAATCACAAAATGCAAATGTCATACCAAGTAAACTGGCAGCAGTCTTGTAAAATAAAATTTATCATTTCAGTGCTTCCTTATTTGTTCCTTGAAAAGAACTGTTACTGCTCTCAAATTATTCATAAGCCTGCTAGTGGGCAAAGCATAAATTATGGAAGAGGCTTTTTAATGTGATTTGTTTCCATGAAGAAGTTTAAAGAAGATGAATTGTAACCTGGCTGTTCCCAGCTCTTGTTCTTCTAGTTACAGCAATAGTAGAATCTAATTGGAGTTCTAATTGCAGTTGGTATACAAATTAATTCTCTTTAAGGAAAGTCTAAAGCCAGATTATTAGGCTTGGTAAGGTTTGCAAGGTGGTCGTTATCCCTTATTCCAAGCTGTGACTTAGAAATTGAGGTAAAGTAATCTTAATATCATCTTAGTATATGCCAAAGAGTGCTGATAAGTAGCTCTAAATTAAGCAAGCTAAATGTTCAAGGTTTAGGGATATAATTGAAGCCTTTCAAAATCCTTGGATTTAGATTTATTTTTGCTACAATTAATAAAATCTTTATTAACATAAACACGTCACATTTCATTTCCTGTTAAATGCAGTTTTTCTTTCTCCCTCCACCATCCTCCCCCTGAATACTGAAGAAGTACTTTGCAAAGTTCTGAAAATACGAGAGGGAAGGATGGAGAAAATAGCTTGTTTTATTCAGGGTCTTGTGGGCTCATCCCATGGTTTTGATGGCTAATGTGGGATTGGACAGTTTCGTATTCATAAATGCCTTGTTTGTTATTGCACATCCATATGGAACTTCTAAAGATTGCTGTGGCTTCTTCATTAGGTGGGCAGGAATAACAGCATTGCTTCCTTGTAGGTTGGATTCTGTGCTTCTACAGCCTGCTACCATAGGAATATATGACATAGGAACTCAGAGGTCAGGCCAAAAGAAAATTACCCTGGTTGTAGGAAAGCATATAGTGCCTTGCTGTGTTTCTAAGCTGATGTAAAGGAGAGAATGAAGACTTTGAAGACCAACTGCTTTCTGGTGCTGTACTACTATTGTCTAGGAGTTTCTGCCTCCCTGTATTTTGCTTTTTTTGTGTTGCACTGAGAACCTAAGCTCACAGGAACAGTGACAGATTGAGTTGGTATAGTGATATGCCCCAAACAGTGGATTCTGTGATTTTTTTCCTTTCTTTGCAACTTACATCTATGACTTTTCCTTTGGATTTTTCCACCTGTATTTAAAAGGTGGAGGGAGTAAGAAGCCTCACTTATCAGGAAAAAAATACCTTCAAGAATCTGCTGGGTGGAATCTCCACTCTGTGGGGTCAGATTGTGAAGATGGAGATTGCATTGCAGTAAGCCTTCTCTGCTCAGGGCACTAAATACACTTCCCTGTGCCTGTGAGGAGAGAAGGGGAGACTCCTGCTTTTTGTAGAGGTTCATTCCAGATCCATCCCTGCTATTTTCCATGTGTAGTGTCGGGAGGCTTTGCTGCTGAAGCTGTCACATTTCTCATGAACTACGAAATGTGTCCTGATTATTCACAACAAATCATGGAGAATATATTTTAAAGAGTACTTTTCACAAAATACAGATGCAGACATTAATATCCTGCACTTTTTCTACTGAACTATTCCATTCTGCTAGCCTCCTGTCATTTTGACCATCTTACTTCCTGTCCTGGTCATATCAAAATTTTAAGAAAGTTTATTTAACCACAAAGGGAAATACCTGATCTTGGGCATTTTGGTTGTGGGGGGTTTTCTGTAGGATTTTCCATATATGTTTAGATATGTGTAGATAATCAAAGGAAAAAAGGTCAAGATAATGTACCACCAGAATGAACAAACATGTTTAATTTTTTTCCCCTTTGTTTTCCCTGCAGTTTTGACATGCAAGAGAAGATTATTAAATTAAGACTCTTAAGATATATATTCTTTAGCCATTGTTTTAATAAAGCATTATACAAAGCTCAAGAGGTACTTAATATCAATATTTGTATTCAAAAAAATATACAGATCCATGGATAAGGGCTTTGCTTACTGTTCTGAACTATGTTTGTTGATGCCTCAGAAAATGGGAGCAGATTCTTTGCTTGCACAGCTTACAGTTTGACTCCTATGGAACTGTGAGATTAGCCACTATCAGCTCCTTTAGAAAACTTTGTCCCATGTGGAACCACAGCACCTTTTGATGTCATAGGTTAGTTAGGTGCTCTTGGATCTTTGGGATCCTTGAAGTGCCTTGAAAGTTGTGCTGGCTTTTTTCATAGCTGGTATCTTAGCATGGAATGTCAAGAGCACAAGGCCTTTATGAGCAAATTGCCTTGTAGGGTTGTCATAGTGCTTTGCTTGAGGGTCCATCCTGAGGTTTTCTTAGGGTTGCTTACTATAGCAATATTTATCTAACAATATAACTTTCCCACTTTTTCAATACTTTTTAATTCTTTTATTTTAGGTACTACGATTCTTCAGATTTGAGGAGCAGCACTTTCTCTAAATGGGATGACAACTCAGATTCTTTTTGGAAGAAAGAAAATAACAGTAGAGATGTTGATGTAATGTTAACTTCAAAAAGTACAGGATTTTCAGACAGGTATATATAAAAAAACAAACAAACAAACAAACAAAACAAAAACACAAACAAAAAAACAAACCTATTTTTGTACAGAAAGCCCAAACCTTTAAAGTGTGTTTTGAAACCTGGTCACAGGAGTGGGTTTTTATGTCTAGAAGGAGAATTTGGCAATGACTTTCAGCAGCAAAGGACTTCCTGACTGTATTTCTTTTGTAAGCTGTAAATTTTTGTAAGCTGAACATTATTTGCATTATAAGCACTTGTCTGTTTTGCTCAGTGTTGTATAGTTCATGTACTGAATGTAGTTTCCAAAGCATTTCAGCAAAAAAAGTAGTAGACAAAAGATGTGGAGAGAAACTCAAATATTTGCACTGTTCTGAGAGCATACTTGCTTTACTTGCTTAATTCATTGCCTAATGAACCAAAGAAAATCCAGTTACCAAATGGATGAAACTGCAGGGTACTCAGCTTTTAGGATGAAGGTATTAAAGGTACTTGCAAACAACAGGTCTAATTGCTGTGATGGTAAAAAATGACCATATTTTTTATTTTGACAACTGTGTTTTTATCTTTGTACCCAAGTGGAAAATGTAAGAATATTGGGGTTTGTGTGCTCAGCTGGTGCTTTGTGATTCTGTCCTTCTTTAGAACCGTTTTTAACTTACTTGTAAAATGCAGTTTGTGCACTTAGCTACAACTTTATTTTGTTTTTCACAAACATATTCTGTTGTTTCTTAAAGAGTGCACCAGTGATGCATATTACAGAAAACAGGGTTTCATGTCTGTAATACTATTGCTTCCCTATTGGAGTCCATTTACTTAAAACAAACAAACCAACCAAAGGCAAGTGTTGAATATGTATATTTGATGTGGAAGGCAGTGACAGTTAATGGATGTTGAATGTTTTCATGCTATTACATTTAAATCTGAATTTTCTTGTGCTTTGGGGTTTTTGAGGTTTTGTAGAAATACCTGGTCTCTTTCCACATAATGTCGCTTGCTTTTTAAATGAACTCTGAAAATAAAGGTACAAGATTAATGAATTTAAGTACTATATGTTCATCATCTTGTAAAACTGCCACTGAAATTTTATTTGTTGCTGTATCAACTTAATTATGTTATTTTTTTTTGTCCTGGGTTGATACTGATTTAATTTTTATTTGGAAAAAAAAAAAAAAACAACACTTATACTTTTAGTCTTCACAAAACAAAGATGACAGTGCTTCTTGTTTCATTTATTGCATTCTGTCCTGATCTAAATAAAATTTACACTCACTAATGAAGTTTATTTTTCTTTTAGGCCTGCGTCTCGTCGTAAGCCTGAATATGAACCATCTTTAAAAACAGATGAAGCACAAAAAAAATTTGGCAATGTAAAAGCCATTTCATCAGACATGTATTTTGGAAGGCAAGATCATGCTGATGTAAGCAGAAAGCAGTGATAAATAGTTTTGAATGTTAAAATATTCTTTGACTATAAACAGAGTGTTTTGTATAAAGAGATGACAATAAATAGTTAAACTGGTAGAATTAATAAGCTTTTAGAATTAAGTCTTCTTGAATATTTGTTTAATTGAAATGTACAAGTTTCTGATAACTCATACAGCTTAATATTTAATTTCAAGGAGTTGTAGCTGCATGCAGGACCTTGCCTCCAATATCATCATTCTTTGGTAGAAGTGGTAGACTGTGATTCAGCTGTCTTTTATTCTTCAAAGAATCAGCCTGGTGTTGGGTGAAGGTTTACTTAATTTCTTCTGAATACCCAAACTGATGCCAACCAGCCACTGTTAAAAAGCTGTCCCCTCTGTGTTTGTTACACAGAAACATTATTACTATTATAAGGCTAACTAGGCAGAAATACTGTTCAACAAAGGACATACAATGGAATCAGCCTAGAAATAAAAAACAGATTAATATTGTGTTGCCTTTTGAGGGTGAGAGATCATTTTTTAAAATAATGAAAAATGAACAATGTACAGAGTAATGTAAAAAAATTTAATCAGCATATTACCATTCAGGGGGAACTTAGAAAAAGTTGAATTAAAAGCATCATATGATTAGAAGGGTTAACATGATGCTTACTGCAGTGCTCTTTCCTTAACCTACCCAACCACTGCATTTCACTTTTTGTTGTTGTTTTCAATGGTTGCATGGTTTTTCCAGCAGTTTTAGGGTACCTAACAGTAAGTAGGTCTCTTGGTGTTGCAGTGATAAATGTCACTCTGGTAACTCGGAAATGAGCTGCTGCTGACAAACACATATCAGTCATGCAAAAACTACAAAATGGGGATAACTTTCAGAATAGTCAACTTCAGCTGGATTTGTATGTTCTGAAACTGTATCTGTGATCTTGTGAATTACCTGACATGACCTTGACAGGTGACAGCACACCATTACAATACTTTTCTTCTCAATCCTTTTCCAGTATGAAGCAAGGGCTCGACTAGAAAGGCTTTCTGGAAGCTCGTCTATAAGTTCAGCTGACTTGTTTGGAGATCAGAAAAAACAACCAACAGGTACATATTGAGCAGAGTGAGAAGCTCTCATGCAGTGGATATGCTCTCGTGCTCTGCTTCTAGTTGCACTGTCAGCTCACTGTCACTGTATTCTGCAAAGAGTGTGTAAAGTACAGTATGCACTAGCATTGACAATAGCTCAAACAAGTGTTACAGGTGTAGTCATGATTTTTTTGTATAAGTGGTGGGTTTTTTTGTGCACTAGCATTGACAATAGGTCAAACAAGTGTAACAGGTGTAGTCATGATTTTTTTGTATAAGTGGCTTTTTTTTTTTGTATCTTCAGGTCAGTAAGTTCAATATACTGTTTTTTTTATGTGACTTGTTGCAAATAATAGAGTAATAAAATAGTAACTAATTTTTATCGAAGGAAAACTGTGGTATTTTGTTATAAAAACAAATGAGTTGACACTTAAATTGACTACCAGGTACATTTTTTGAGAAGTCATGGTAAGTAATATATATGTGAAAATAGCTGTCATAATAATATTGGTTCTGAGAAGAATCCTTGATAAAATGTTAGTGGCCTTGAGATTCCCATGTAATCTGTTGCACGGCGTATCCATTCATCATGCTGCTTCTAACACTGGTCGTGCCAAATTATTAAGGAAATTTTTCAATTGGTTTGGCTTGTTAAAAGATTTCTTGGGACACATTACATTGGAGAGTATGGTTCATCAAATTAGAAAGGAAGAAAGATTAGATTAGATTAGATTAGATTAGACTGACGGAAAAGTAGCTCCTTAGGCTATTGAAAATCTCATGTTTTCTTTCCAACACCCTTTTTGGATAGAGCAAAAATGTGAAAGAGAAACAGTAGGAATTACTGGAACTTTTTATTGACTTGACCAGTTTGGTTTCATACCTTAACTTGTGAAGAAACAGGAGAAAAAAATTATTGAAGAACTTGAAATCTGTGAGTAATTATATAAAGATACTGGAAAACAGTATGCAGCATCTGATTTTACTTTGGAAAAGTTGGAGGGGAAAAAAAAAAAGACTGTTCAGTTTAAATCCCCTGAAAGGGAGTTTTGGATACTCTGGCTGGCAGAGAAATAAATCCTGTTATCAGTTACTTAATCTGGATTTTGAAATGCAAAAAAAAATATGTATATATATATATATACAAACTAAGGAGGAGAGGAGGAGACAGCAGCAGAAATTAAAGACAGCAGCAGCAGAAAAATCACAGTAACTTACTTCAGCCACTTGAAAAGAGTATTTGCAACATGGTGTCCCAGCTGTGCCTGAAAAAGATGTGGGGAACATAAGTAAAGAAATGGTGTTCCTTTATGAATTTGTAAACAGTGTTTTCAACAATACATGGGATTGTGATAAGTATTATTTTGTTACCTTTCTGTTGTTAGCTAGAGCTTTCTTCATACTTCTGAATCTTCTTGCATATAAATTATTTTATATGGTTTAATTTGTGTAATGTGTGGGGCTTTTGCACACTAATGAATAAGAGCGTGAACTAGGAGAAGGTAAATAGAAGTTAAAGATGAGGCAAATTGTGGTGTGTATATTTACACACCCATATGTAGGTGATAAATTCTCTCTGTATTCTGAGTCAGGGTACTTGGAGGCATTCTGTCATGTTGACTGTGTGTATGTGCATTGTGCACACGTGGTTATCAATTGCTGATTAATGGGAAATGTTCCTGGGTTGTGTGAGGGAATGCAGAAATTGCTAATAATGGGATGAGGACACATGCCTGCCATTAGCCTTTAATTACTCTCTGACACTGGCATGTAAACCAACCATGTAAATTTAAAGTTATAGTACACAGACTAAACTTCTGCTCAATTTTGTGGGTTGTTACCTGCTCTGAAATAATCGTGAGGAAATAATACACCAGGAGGTATTAGTTTGTGTAACATAAATTCACACACTAGTCAATTTACAGAATCTTCCTTTCTTGCATGTGTCCTCCTACACTCCCCACCTCACAGACTGTCTTTTGACTGGGAGAAATTTTACTGCACTAATAGCTTGCACAATGTGGTGCTGAATTAATGCCAAGGCTATCATTAGTTCCCTTAAAAGAAAGGTAATCAGGAGACCGGAGGCTGGCAACAATAACGCTGCTGTAATTCTGGGGTCCTTGCCAGGGTAAAGTGTCCTTTGAATCTGAAGTTGTCTTCATGAGAGTTGCTGAGATTTTAGGATAGAACAGTTTGGGGATGCTTGCTTATGTACAGAATTCTGTAGGAACTGTTTACTAAAAAGAAGGAGAAATGCAGGAAAATGCATTTACTTTGCATTATTGCAGATCTATTCCTTATGAAAGATGGCATGTCAGATAGCTGACTTGTAGATCCTGATTTTGAAGGAAATCACAAGTAAAGGAGTGGCTTTCCTGTCTGATTTACAAGAAGTCCTTCAGACAACCATACATAACCAGAAAAACATGACAAAATTCAGGTGGCTGAGAACTGATTAGAGCTTTTCTCAGTTTTTTTATATCTGCAAATTTTATTTCCCAAGACTGACCTTAATAACAGAAATGCTGAAGCATTTGCAAAGTGGAACAGATCATAAGGAAGTTTAAAATTACAGTTCTAAAGTAGGACTTTGTCAGTGACAGGAAATTTTGGAAAATCATCTATAAGAAGTATGCCCATGCATTATAGAAACAGCTACTAACCAACTTTAAAGAATGTAATGGTAATTTCTCTGAATGTGACCGCGTCTGCCACTACAAACAGCCACTTAGCTTAATTAATCAAATGCAGCAATGTCTTTCTCAGCCTGCTTACAAGGCAGGTGCCTTCAGTTTCCTGTGAAGAGAGGAGCTGCAGATTCTTTCTCTTCCTTCTCCACCTCTGTTCAAAGAGGGGAGGAAAGAGAAGGAAGGGCTGCCGGTGTGTGGCCGTGGTCTGTGCCGAGTGACAGCTGTGAACCTTCTCCAAGGTTCAGTGGCTGCTCACAAGGTACTGGTTGTGTCCTGACTGGTCAGGACTGTCAGTTGGCTGCGTGTCTAAATGAAGGCTACAGATTGCATTCTCCATTTTGAAAATTATCTCTTTGGGGATGCTTCCTCCCAGGAGCCCCATTTATTCCCAACATACAGTTCCGTGGTGCTGTTTTACTGCCACTTGTGCCTTTCACAGTACTAGGTACTTAATATTAAGATGTGCCAGTAATTCTTTTCACAAATGAGTGGGTGATTGTAATTATTACTGTGTTAATACTTACACTGTTAGTTTTGAAACATCTTTGATTTCTGTTAACTTTAGGCCTATAAAATTTCCTAATAGCAGTAGAGCTAACACAGGCAGAGCTATATTGGCTTTAGGGGAGGCTGGATTGCTAGCTTTGTTCTGGAGTTTCAAAACTTATTTACCTTTACTGTAATTTCTGTAGAACTTTCCAAGCCTCAGGTGTAGTAATGCAAAATATACATGTATATACAGCATGCAAAGCATACCTATGCATGCACACAGATAGGGCTCATCACTTCAGCCACCACTGAAGTGCCTTCACCTTTAAATTGCAAGCTAATAACGGCTGTTTAGGCTACAGGACAAGTAATGCTGCACCAGACTGAAAGTGCAGAATAAATCATGTATTATCCAGACATTAATTGCTCATCTGGAAATACAAAGTGTAGAAGATGACAGTGTGGGTGGAATTATGAACAATTGAAAAAACATGGAAACAAAGATGCATTTAAGAAACTTGAGATCCATGCTTAGTTTTTTACAGCGTCGGTCAGATATTGATAGTTAGTGCTTCTAGTACTATATTGTACTTTGGGTGGAGAAAAAGACTGCTTTTAGTGTAAAATTCTCTTTTCTTCCTCTCTGTGTGTGTGTTTTCCTTTTAGGAAACTACAATATTACAAATGTCTTGCCTTCAGCTCCTGATATAGCTCAGTTTAAACAAGGAGTGAAATCAGTGGCTGGAAAACTTTCGGTACTTGCTAATGGGGTCATGACATCTATACAGGTTAGTAAAACTATTACCATATATTGAAGCCCCAGTTCTTGGAAGCACTGGTCAATTTTCTCTAAGTCTTTAAGAATTAAATTCCTATTTATTTTGCAAATGGAAGTTATTTCAGTGGAAAACATACTGATGTACACTTGTTTTTTTTTTACTTTTCTAGGATCGATACGGTTCGTAACATCTTTTATATCAACAGAACTAAGTACACTAAAGAAGGATTTCTCTTCAGATATAAAAGTGATCACACTGCTGATTCGAATGAAGGTTGCCTTAACACTGTTGATGTTTATTCCTTGTGCCAGCATATTTGTTCCTGTGTGCAGCTTTCTGGCTCAGCCTCTTCGTACTGCTCTTTAATCTTCACAGAGCAGAAATCTTGTAGCAACTCATTCCATCTGCATATGCCCCACCCCCTTTACAAGTCTTGTATTTCTTAATGACCTTAATGTTAGATGTTGGAAGCTTTATTACTGGTTTCAGCTGTGAGGCAGGAAGAAGAAAGATGGATAAATATGTACGTTGGAAATGAGGCTTCCTAATAGAAACCTCAGTGCAGTTGCATCCTTACTTGCCAGATATAACTTGTCTTCTGACTTATGAACTGTGGAGAAAAAAAATGTAAACTAAGCATATGCTGAGGTGGTATTTAGTGGACTGTAGCAAAATATAGAATTAAGTTAAACCTGTGCTTGTCAGGAAATAGCAGCTTTTGCAGTCATAAATTGATGTGCATTAAAATGATGGGGGATTAGTGTTTTAAAACAATGTTCCTGCTAGAAAATTGTATGCTTAGATGTGAGGTATGAAGACAACAAGATGTGGTGTATTGAATAGTGGATTTCATCTTGTGGAAACTATTTATTCCTAGTTTTGAAAGTTACAAAAATCTGCAATAGAGTATCCTTAAGTGCTTTTTAAAAATCTGTATTGTGTACAAATTGAAAAAAAAATTAAAATATATAAAGGGCCTAATAGACTAGCTAATTAAATACTTGTTAAAAATGTTTAGAACCATCTTAGTTTTTTGATAAATTATGAAATATTGAATGAGGAAATAGTCAGGCTGTGTTTTAGACAGTCTAGATTTGTGATGACATCCTGTATAAAAATGACTGTAAACTTAAGGGAAAAAAAAACTCAATTTTTTTTTTTTTTTCATGAGCTCAAGCTATTTCTGTTCTGTAACTTTATTTCTTAATTCAGATTTGTAAACTACTGATATCTAATAAAAACAATTGATATAAACTCATTTTTAAATTATATTTCTATGTGCAGACACCAGTCTCCAGCTTTCTAAATATTGCCATGGTCTGGTAAAAATAGCCTTTAATTTCAATTAGTGAAACTAGCCTCCTTATTAAATTGCTAGAGTGATTTAGAAATCAAAAAATGAAGCCTGGGATAGAAAATAAGCTACTGTATTGAAATACTGTTAACAGTATAGCTGTGTTTGGTTTTTCCATTTCTGGCTGCCTCTTACATATAAATCTCAGTCCTGGTTACTTTCTCTTATGGCTGTTACATTTAGATTCATTAATCCAAAAAAGACCTTTAAGAGTGGTACAAGATAAGCATTCATTCTGCAAAACTGTAGAGCTTTACAGTTAAAGACTCAGTTTTTCTCCTTTCCCACCCTATAGAGATGGTTTTGCTGATATAAGAAGAAAACATACTGGTCAGGGCCTGCTTTGCTTTTCTCTAATTCCAGGTAATGATTCTCAGGATTTCAAACTACTCTTTCACTTAAGTGTACACACAATACTACATTTATTACAAGTAATAAGTGGTCTGATGATCAGAGTTGTGATATACCAACAGCATGTGGTGCCCTGCAGAAGGGCTGCTCCTCTCATAACTAGGCTGCACCTTCAGACATTTGTATATGGATGCAATTGCTTAAATTCAGGCAGTGGATGTAGTTCTGCCCCCTCCTGTATTTTCCCATATGTAACAATGTATGTGAGGTCACTTAAACTGTTATCACACAATGCACTGTTGTGTGTTGTGTGCATTGTTGGTGCATTGCTGCAATACAGTGAACCACTCAGATGGAAAAATAAAAGAAAAATTGATATTTTCAGTACAAAATAAGGAGATAGTCTAGGAGGAAACAACTATGGGGTTATCTTAAATGCCATAAAACTTGTGCAACACAAACAGACAAAGAAACTTTATCCTCTTTGCTGCAATCTGAAGATTACACCACCAAGTTCTCTTCAGCAAGAATTCAGTATTTTCAGGAATATCATGCAATTCAACATAAATTGGATTTGTTGTTGCAGATTTTCTGTGGCAACCTGTGTACCACTAATACGTTGTCTTGAGGTGATGGCTGGACAAATAGCTCTTGACCCCCATTACACCTATTTCTGACTTTAATAAACCTGTGAGTTTCACTGTGATTCATCAAACGGAGGTGAGGAGGCGTTGCCATGCACACTGGAAGAGCCATCTTGAACTCCTCTAGTCTCCTGGATGCCATCCTGGATGCCATGGCACCTCTGATCCTGGAAGATTTGATTGGACCTGATCAAAGGGAGAAAATTCTAAATCTAAAATGAGGTTTGCATTTTCTGCTTTCCTGGATGTCTTTTTCCTTTCCCCTTCAAACACATCTGTCAGTGTCTGGGTTTGGCAAGGATAAAGCTGGGTTTGACCTGGAGCTGGATGGGAGCTGTAGCCAGGCAGACAGCTGGAGGGTTCCTCCCTGCCAGGTTGCCCCGTGCCTGTGGCAGCAGGGCTGGGCTGGGTTCCAAGCCAGGGCTGCAGCCTGGAGCCCACGTGGTGATTCCTTTCCTTTGTTCTAGGTTTCTATACCTATTGTTACTGCTGTTTACTGTTCTTTCTGCACTGTTGTATTAAATTCTCCTTATCTCAACCCACGGGGGTTTGTGTTTTCCTCCCTGCCCTGGTGTCAGCATGGCAGCGAAGAACCCCCGGCTGGAGCTCCCACCCGGCTGCCAGTGAAAGCCAACCCTATCCTAGCCCCAGCAGCACACCTTGAAAGGGACTCTAGCCATAGAGCAGGATGTTCTCATGGTTCTTCTTCAGCTTCAGTTTCTGTGAGAATTTCCCTTCCCTTTACACGGTAAGCAATGTTGCTTTCTTCCCAGGAAGACAGGAGAATAGAGAAGTGTAGCCCTGCTGAAGCAGTCCAAGAAAGCCTTGTGGTGCTTGGAGTGTAAGTAGAGGATTGTTGTCCGTTCTGTTTGCAAACTACTCAAGAACAGTTTTGGCCTTTGGTGTGCAAGCCTCCAAGGGTGCACCTTCAACAATCTCCCTGTGTTTAGAAAGAAAAGGGAAGGAGTTACAGAGATCTTGGAACTCTCCACCTTCCTCTTGGCTTGCAGGTGCGTCCTGAAGCTCTGCAACACTTATTTCTTCATTTACAGCTTTGAAGTTCGTGTGGTCAGTGTAACCTTTCTGTTCTCTTGTCTCTAAAAACAAGTTTTTATCTTAAAGACAGCTGTTTCTGTATCTTAGCTAATGAGAGTTCAAATTGGTTTCTGGATATGGACATATGTTGCCATTAGAAAAGTTTTAGCATGCCTTGCCTGAGAGCTGGCTGGGATGCCAGCTGTGGGTCTCCTGTAGTGCTGCAGCCTCACAGGGCACCTAAAGCATCTACAAGTGGGCACCTGGATTGGACCCCACGTAGCTGCTTGTTCTGCCAATGACTAGGCCTAACACGAATGACACAACCAGCAGGAAGATGAACCAAGAGGTGGAATGTACTGAACACAAGAAGGACATTCCGTGAACGATTGCTGGGGGTACAAACAGATCAATTAGTTCACATGCAACTGACATTACCCACAACGATCCCAAAAAAGACATAACCCGACCAACAATAGGTGGTACAAGCAAAGAACCAAGGTTTCCCATGGATGGAATGGGAAACAGCCAGGTCAGGAAGTTGAACACATGAGATAAGGGTGGCCACATGGGCAGCTCTCACCCTCCTAGCCCGAGTTTGCAAAGGTCCAAGCTGACCTTTGTCAACTCACTGCGGGACCCCTGGGGCTCATTTCCCTTCTGGCTCTCCCTGCAGGCCCGGCCGCACCCTGGGGGGAAGCTATAAGGCAAACTCACCCCTCTGTATGAAGGGCTGTGGGGATCACCCATATGTCAACCTTAATTCAGGGCTCTGGGTTCAGACCCCAGCATTTCACTGCTGTACATTGAGCAATGTGGTTATCTACTCCCCACCATTTTATCTTGATGCCCTGTATGTTTACAGCAAGGACTCCTACATTTTCTCTTAACTGGGAGAGCAGTATTAGGGAGCCATGGCTTTCCTTGGTGGAGGGTTCAGAAAATAATTGCATTGTTGACAGGCTGGTTTAAGAAGACAAACAGCAGGGACTGTCCACGAGTCAAGGTGCAGAAGATTGAGATACAAAGGAGGCAGGTTTGGTGATGGGACGATGGAGATATTTCCATCTCAACACTGCAAGATCCTACAGAATGAGAACAGAAGATTCTGCAGTCTTTAGTCTGTAAGTCAAATTCTTTATCAGCTAATGAGCCAATCATTATAAAGCAGCATTTTTATCTGTATTTATAAATTGCTGTGGTTTTCTCCTGGTTTCTCTTACTGTAATGATTAAGGGGACAAAATCCTTAGGGAGAAGCATTTTGTGGATATGAAGACTGCTAGCAGAACAGCTTGATCAGAAGCTATATATAGATATTCCAGAATTAAATTACACTGATAAATGTGTTGCCATTTCATTACTTACCTCAGCCCAGTGCTTCAGAGGTTTGGCATATAGAGAGGGAAGGTGCTGACTGTGAAGACCCAGTTGTGTGACAAAACGTGTGTCCATAGCAGGGGAAGATCTAGAGAATGGTAAAAGGGAAAGGAAACTGAGATTGCCAGTGGAAATTTCATGTGTTACCCAAGCATACTCATCCCCCACAGTGTGCAATCATCTCTCACTGAGTCATGGCTCCACAGAAGGGCAGCCTGTGAAGCTCACAGTGCCTGGGCATGAGAGAATGCTTTTAACTCTGCACAGGAAACCCTTTTAAAAGCTGATGTAGAGCTGGATTTCTGAAGTATGCAGCCAGCCATTGGAGAGGCACCTGCTTTCCTTTTCAGTTTTCTCATAATGATAGGAATTTCTGCATTTCTTTCTGGTAATACATCATGTGTTCATAATGCCTCCTGTTTGTCTGACAGTTCTTTCCTGCTTATATCAAAATTGCTTGAGGTAGTAATAGTTCTTGATTAATGCAATTACGAACGTGAGCGATGCTGGGAGACCCAGAAGCATTAATAGGATGCTCTGGAGGCACACAGTTTGCACAAAGCTGGATCAATTGGAAGTGAATGGACAGTGTTGCATTTGTAATGAGCTG